TTGTTTTACTGCTTCATTCTCGTGGTTCCTCCCATCAGTTCTAATTCTTCTTTCCATCATGACTAATGGGAAAATATGCTTAATATGAACATATAAGTTGAGCCTATATCACATTGCATGTCCACTTGGGGAGAGGGGAGGAAAGGGAGAGGGAGAAAATGTAAAACTCAAAATACTATGGAAGTGAATACTGAAAACTAAAAATAAATAAATTATTTTTTTTAAATAAGAGAAAAAAATAAAGGGCAAAAAAAAAAAGAGAGGAAGGTAGGGTTTTGAATTTTTTTTTTAATGCAGCCTGCATGATCTTCTTGCTGTCAAGAATTCTAGTTCAGTGGTGCCAAATTCTGATAGAAATGGATCCTAGCAGCCACATGTTGACTTAGAAAGCCACAAATTACCATCACCTAAGTTGCATTATAATTTTATTATTTTGTTCAACATTCCCAATTATATTTTAATCTGGTTTGGACTGTACTCCAGAGTTTTGTGGGTTGCTTGCAGCCCTGAGTGGGTTTGATACCTCTGTTCTAGGTTATGTGATAGAACTCAAGAAGTACAACAAGCATCCTTTCCATTATTTTCCATTTTTCCTTTCCATTGTTCTTATCATGTCTGGCAAAGGGTCCACTGAGTAGAAAGCTGAACAACAGTACCAGTATCTAATACTGCCACTGTTATATAGTTCTGGTGCCCAAGGGAGAGAGCCTTATATAAAGACAGAGTGGTAAAACTGAAACATTTCTGCAATTTGGGAGACAACAATCCTACTGTCTTCTAATACAGCCTACCTATTCCAATCTTTAGGTATAAGACTCGTGAGTATAGTCATTGCTAAAGTGTGTGCTCCTGAAGAACACTCACTCATGGAACCATCATAACTAAATGCCTGCTAAAGTATGTAAAGCATGCTTGCACACACATGAAATATGTGTAAGCAAGTATATGCACTGTTTACATTTTAAACTACGGCTACTGAAACTAAGACAGAGCTATGCATTTCACAGGGCACTTCATCTTTTAAAACGTACCATTACAGGAATGGGAATTGTGGGAGGAAAAGGGAAGAAGGGCAGGAGAAGAAGGGAGCTTTTTCTAATGAAACTGCTTTTTCTCAAAAGTTTGCACATCTGGATCACAGTTGCTTGGCAGACTTTCTTGGCCGTGTTCCTCATAGAAGGCATGTCATTACAGGTGCCTCTCCTGGATTTAGTCCAAGGAATTATTTCTCCCTTCTACCCTGGAATAATCTCCTTTTGGGTGTGCATATGTTGGGTCGAGGGAAGAGGACTGGCAGTGAAGCACTGGTTCTGACAAGCAATGAAATCCCTCACTTCACACAGATCCTGTTCTGCCATACTATATAGGTTGTGTGTGTGTGTGTGTGTGTGTGTGTGTGTGTGTGTGTGTGTGTGTGTGTGTTAGGGGAAGAAAGGCAGAACAAGGAGAGGGTAAGAGAGGTGGAGAACAACTTCAAATTTTATCTTCTCTCTCTCTATTTACCCCTCTCTCCCTTTCCTATTAGTTTAGAGCCATGAGTTTCTTATAATTGATTTCAGACTTTAGGAGCAAAGCAAAGAAGGTGTGCATAGTGGGACAAGGGTGGGGTGAAGTTGAGAGTGGAGGGGTAGCAAGGGCAAAGATGAGATGAGTCACAGCCAAAGTCTGGCACCAAAGAGCAGAAGCTAGAGGACTTCCTAGGGCTGGTAATGCTCTTATGTAACATGCCCAGACAAGTCTCCCATACTGAGGTTAGAAAAAGAGGCAGCATGGCAATGCTTTAATTTTATTTTTACTAGATTTGTGATTTCACTGATAGAGAGAACTTCTAATTAGAACTACAATAAGCAAAAAACTGCTAAAATCAAGCCAGGCACTGATTGATAATAAAGGCCAGTCTTGGCTCAGGAGAATAAAAAGGAAACACTTCTGTCCTTTTGACAGAGAGATGGGGATAGGTACTGAATGTTGCATACACTATCAGATGAGACCATTCACTGTTGGTTGATTTTGTTCAACTGTTTTTCTTTTGCTACGTGAGAAAAATCACCTGGTTGTAGTGATATATCTGCAAATGAGATGATTTTTTTAAAAACCTAGCAATAAAACTTATTCTGAAAAAGGCAAAAAAAAAGCAGTAGGGGAAAAAGTCAATTAATCAACAAGCATCTATTAAGTGCCTGCTATATGTCAGGTACCATGCTAGGTTCTAGGGATGCAAACACACAAGTAACCTACGTCCTTTTCTCCAGGAACTAGAATTCCACTGGGTGGAGGAACGGGGATGGGGGGGGTGAGGGCTAACAAATGGAGGAATCAGTAAAGGCCTCTTAAAAGAGACAGCACTTGTGCCTTTAAAGAGTCTAAGGGTCAGAGGTGACAAAGGAATGCATTCCGCACAAAGGCACAAAGGTGAGAGACAGAATGCTGTTTGGCTAGAGAATAGTGTGTGAGGGAGAAAAGTGCATAGTCAGCCTAGAAAGGTATCTGACTGGAGCCAGATAGTGAAGGGCTTTAAACATCGAACAGGAACAGTATTTTTACCCTAAAGGCAATTGGAAGGCGGGTGGTGGGCACTGAAGAGTCTGGGGCAGGAGAGCGACAAAGTCGGATCTATGCTTTGGAAACATCAATCTGGCAGCTGTGAGCGTGGCCTAAGTTCTAATTCCGGCTTTAACATTCACTTAGCTGGGTAATCTCGAGCTAGTCCCTCTGGGTTTTAGTTTTCTCATCTGTAAAATAAGAAGGTCTGACTACGTGATTGCTAGATCTTGCAGCTCTAAAATTTTAGGATTTTATGAATAACAGCTTCCAGGAGGGCTGGTTCTAAACTGCAGGAATGGTTTCAGATCCAAACGTATAGATCTTTGTACTGAAATATGTTTCCAGAACATCGTTCCACCCTTTATGAGGATTCTATGCCTTGTTTACCAGGCAATTTGCTTTTCATGAGGTCAGTAAAGTCAGTTTTCTTTCCACACTCGAAAATCTTCCATGATATCACAGAAACATGGAACACAGTGGAGTCAACTCTTCCAGAGACACATACACTAGGTGTTTCTCATGTCTGGGCCAACCACAGACATGGAAGGAAAAGGTGGTCCTGAGAGAAATGGGGTGAATGTTGCACAGTGAAGGAAGAAACACGGAGAGCTGGCAAGTCGTCTCTGACAACTCTGGACTAGACCTGGTGATCTGGGATGTGAACATGGGTACTGGCACCATTTCTTGCTTTAACAAGGAGAAGAGATATTCTAGGACAATATGAAGCAGCACAAATGGGGCTGCAGAGGCTCTGATGCTCAGTACTCACAGGCACTGGGTCTTTCACCTCCTCTACCAATCCCCAATAATTACTTTTTTCCTTTCATATATGGAAAGAATATTTTATTTCCATCATGCGAAAGAGAGAGCTAGAGCAAGGGGTGTGTGTGTGTGTGTGTGTGTGTGTGCCTCTGAGACTCAAAAACTGTTGTCTAAGGTCTATATTGCACATTCACACTCCCATTTCTATTATTTCTGCCCTATTTCTACTCTCTAAAACCCCTGGCACTGTTATCTTACCTACTGACATCACCTAAGGACCCCAGGGCCACAAGGCTGCACCTTTAGGGCCTCTGGGCTTTTCCATCTGCCCTACAGCTAAGATGTCTTTTATGGGGGCAGCCAGGTGGTGCAGTGGATAGAGTTTCGGCCTTGGAGTCAGGAGGACCTGAGTTCAAATCCGACCTCAGACACACAACACTTACTAGCTGTGTGACCAAATAAATAAGATGTCTTCCATGTGCTGTCTCTCCCACTTACAGTATGAGAATCTCTAGAGCAGGGACTGTCTAGCCTTTTCTATTTGTGTCCCTACGTGCTTAGTACAATGCCTGGCACACAAGAAGTGCTTAATAAATGCTTTTTCACTGATGCATTCACATAAGGTATGATTATATAGAGTGTTATGAATGATATTTATCAGGGTAACTAAATTAGTGATAAAAGCAACCAAGGAGTTAACCAAGTTAAAACATTTTACAACTTTTTAAATGTCACTAGCCCTTAGTTTACTTTTTCTATTTTGTCAACATAAAGTGGTATTTAAAACCATATAAGGGGAAAAAAACCAACAAAAAAACCCCCACCATATAAGATCAGAACTGGAACGGACCATACAGAGACTGTTCAGTACAAACTTCTAACTTAATAGGTTAGGAAACCAAAGACCAAAGAAATCAAGATATTTGCTCAAAGCCACAGAGATAATTAGTGGCAAGTCTGACAAGAATTCTGTCCACTGATTCTTATTTCAGTGCTCTACAGCTCTGCCCACTAAGGCAGAAAGTGAGGGAAAACAGGAAAAAAGTATGAGTTGCAGCATACCCAGCAGGAAGGGAGAAGAGGGACAATATCAGGATTCCTTCAATCCCCCTAAATAGTCTAACATTGTGTAAAGCCTCTCCATCTACACATTCATGGCTAAAGGACATAAGCAGAGGTTCTCAAACGCTTTGTTCTCAGGACGCTTTTGATACTCTAAAGCGCTTTTGTTGATGTGGGTTATATCTAGTGATATCTACTGCATTAGAACTTAAATGTTTTAGTATTGTTATGAAAATAATTTTGACCTCAAGGACCCCCTGGGTCTTGGGCACACGTGGACTACATTTTGAGAACCACAGAACTAGAGAAACTGCTCTTTGCCATGACGAGGGGGTTGACTAAATCAGGGCTTCTCAAACTTTTCCCACTCACAACCCATATGGAGTTGTGACCCACAGTTTGAGAAGCGCTAAACTAAATAACTTTTAAAGTCCCTTCCAGCTCTAAATCTACAATGCTATGATATAATACAAAAGACCCCCCCCCAAAATCATGTTCCCAGGACACTGTAAAAGGGACACACTCTGGTAATCTGCTGTCCTTGGGCAGTGATGAGTCCTCTACTTATTTGGAGCCATTTAGTATTATGATATATATCAAAATACACAATCAAATACAGGTACCTGACTTACCTGAAGCAATTCCATTTCCAAGGAAAGTGTTAATAATCATGAATGGAAGAAGTAATCCATGTCCTAAGGAGGCAAATGGTGAGGCTGAGCTGCTCTTTGGTGTTATCCTGCCATAGCACATCTTTTATCCGTCCAAGTTTGAAAGAAAAAGGGGGTAAAAAAGTTGCCAGCCAGGTACAAATCCACCTATTAAAAAAATGCATAAAAAACTTCAGGAAGGAATAAAAGAGAAGCCCTCTATAAGCCAAGTGTTAGGGAATCCTATCAACTAAATTCACCTCTCTTTCAGTGTAAGGAAGATAACATCTAGCCTCTTTGGCTTGGAAGGATGGCAAAATGCCCAAAGCCTCCAAGCACGCACAGCCAGATTTCTGAAAGAGGAGAGGGAGGCAGGAATTATCTCACCTTGAAATCTTTCAAGCACAGCTGGACTTTGACAAAAGAGCCAATTCTGCCCCACAAGTCATGGAGGCTCTGAGCGAAGAAGGGAAGACACAGCTGACGAGAAGAGGACTGATGTCTGTATCAATGAGTCAAGTTTTTCCTTTGCCACATGCACACGGTACGAGTTCAACTTAGGGAAGAAAAAAAAAGGGGGAACTAATTTAATAGGAAGGAAAGCAACTCCAGAAACACTGTCTCGAAAAGGAATGTATCTCTGAGCTGCTTGAGCAACAGGCCTAGTCACTCACAGTTCTGACTCTGCAGCTGTGAATTTCAAAAATGAAACAATTAACAACTTCATCATACACACCTGCAACCCAGGAAGTTACATAGCTAGTCATGTGTGGTGACACTCTACCACACAACTCTAAAAAAAAACAGCACGTGACACACTCCTCACTTGAAGCAAGATAGTTAAAGAGTTAAACATTGACAGTGGTATAAAATATAATACAGTGCCCAGGTTCCCAATGAAGCATAGCTCCCGATTGGAGGAATTCTAGTCAGCCAATGAACAACAAGGATTAAAACTGTTAGACCTAGAAGGGTCCTTCAAGACCATCCATTCCTTCCTCCATTATTGTAAAATTATCTCATCTCATAAAAAAAGATATTATTTTGATAAACATTTAACTCCTACCATTAAGCTCCTATTATGTGCCAGGCATTGTGCTAAGTGCTGGGGATACAAATATGGGAAGTCTACACACAAAAAGAAGATGAAAAGGTGGAGAGTGGGTAACCTTCTGGTATGTGGGGGGGCAGTACACAGAGGAGGGTAGAAGATGAAGTCCAGGAGTACAGCCTGTGGGAAATGATGAGATGCCTGAACTGGGTTTTCCTCCTTAAATTGAGGATGTGGGAGGAGTTCTCCACTGTTACCCTCTACCCCAAATACCCTCCCAAAGCTCCCTTTCTCAAAAATATTCATTAGGTTCCCAATACAATTTTTATGTTTTGCTAATTCAATGATTTTTAAGCAGAATTTAAAACGACTTCGTAGAAATTTGGGGTTTTCACTCAGATGGGGAAACTGAGCTAAAATTATAGTTCTGCCAAATTTAGTGCTCAAGAGGATTCCAGGATCTAATAAATCAATTTGTATGTTGTAGGGCTTTTGTATTGAGGGTCACAACTTTAGAGTTAGAAGAGATCTTAGGGAACATTTAGTTTAATCTCCTCCCTTCATTTTACTAATGAGGAAACTGAGGTCAAGTATGACTTGTCTGTTTACTTAGGTATGTAATGTAACCTATTTAGTTAATTTATTCCAATTTACCCATTAGGATCCCATCTGTTCATAAGATACCCAGAAATAATAAGACTGCACTTTTTAATTTCAAAAAAAATTCTGGAATTCAGACAGTTCACTGTTTCATACAGAACTTTATATTTCCTCCTCTTAATTCCCCCTCCCTTCCATATACATACACATAGTCGCTGAAATACAAAGACCAGATACTCTGCTGGGGATACTAACCCAGACTTGATTTGAAACTGATGTGTGGCAGTACTAGATCTTAAATTATACTAACCCAGACTTGATTTGAAACTGGTGTATGGCAGTACTAGATCTTAAATTATACTAAAATCAGTAACCATCAAAACCAGGGGTAGGGAACCTGTGGCCTCAAGGCCACATATGGGGTTCTAGGTCGTTGGGTACAGCCTTCTGACTGAGTTCAAATTTTACAGAACAAATCTTTTTTTTTTGGTTCCACAATGGCAAATTTAATATATACTTTTTAAAAACTGCATTTCATACATGTACAATTTCATATTCTTATTCACCTGCTTCTCTCCCAGCCCCTCCTCCACAGCTTCCTTGCCAACAGTCTTGGTGCCTACACACACACGTTCCTGCCTGCTCTCTTCTTTTAAAAAAAAAAAATAAATTATTTATTTATTTTTAATTTTCAACATTCACTTCCACAAGATTTTGAGTTCCAAATTTTCTCCCCATCTCATCCCTCTCCCCACCCCAAGATGGTGTGCATTCTGAATACCCCTTCCCCTAATCTGCCCTCCATTCTATCACACCCCCCCCATTTTCCTGTAGGGCAGGATAGATTTCTATACCACACTGCCTATATATCTTATTTCCCAGTTGCGTGTGAAAATAATTTTTAACATTTGTTTTTAAAACTTTGGGTTCCAAATTTTCTCCCTCCCTCCCCACCCACCCTCATTGAAAAGGCAAGCAACTTGATACTGGTTATACATGTATAGTCATGTAAAACACTTCCATAGTAGTCATGTTGTAGAAAACTATATTTTTCTTCATCCTATCCCGACCCCCATTTATTCTATTATCTTTTTTGACCCTGTCCCTCCTCAGAAGTGTTTGCTTCTGATTAACCCCTCTCCCAATCTTCCCTCTCCTCTATCATTCTCTCCCCCACCCCAAACCCCCCTGCTCTCTTATCCCCACTGCCCTTATTTTCCTGTAGGGTAAGTTAGATTTCCATACCCAGTAAGCCAAATCTGATGAGAGTAAGATTCACTCATCCCTCTCACCTTCCCCCACTTCCCCTCTACTGTAAAAGCCTTTTCTTGTCTATTTTATGTGAGATAATCTACCCCATTCTACCTCTCTCTTTTTCCTCCCAGTATCTCTTACCCCTTAATTTTATTCTCCAGATATCACCCCTTCATCTTCAACTCACCCTGTGCCCTCTATCTATCTATCTGTCTCTCTCTATATATATCTGAAAAAAATTATAGTTTTTATCACTTCAACTACCCTAATACTGACAAAGGTCTCATGAGTTACAAATATCTTTCCATGCAGGAATGTAAACAGTTCAACCTTAGTAAGTCCCGTATGATTTCTCTTTCCTGTTTACCTTTTCATGCTTCTCTTGAGTCTTGTATTTGAAAGTCAAATTTTCTGTTCAGCTCTAGTCTTTTCATCAAGAATGCTTGAGGGGGCAGCTAGGTGGCGCACTGGATAGAGCACTGGCCCTGAATTCAGGACGACCTGAGTTCAAATCCAGCCTCAGACACATAATACTCACTAGCTGTGTGACTCTGGGTAAGTCACTTAACCACTGACTACCCCCCCCAAAAAAAATGTTTGAAAGTCCTCTATTTCACTGAATGCCCATTTTTTCTCCTGAAGAATTATACTTAATTTTTCTGAGTAGGTGATTCTTGGTTGTAATCCTATCTCCTTTGACCTCCAGAATATCTTATTCCAAGCCCTCCAATCCCTTAATGTAGAAGCTGCTAAATCTTGTGTTATCCTGATTGTGTTTCCACAATACTTGAATTGTTTCTTTCTGGCTGCTTGCACTATTTTTTCCTTGACCTGGGAACTTTGGAATTCAATATTCCTAGGAGTTTTCCTTTGGGTATCTCTTTCAGAAGGTGATCGGTGGATTCTTTCCATTTCTGTTTTACCCTCTGGTTCTACGATATCAGGGCAATTTTCTTTGATAATTTCTTGAAAGATCATGTCTAGGCTCTTTTTTTGATCATGGCTTTCAGGTAGTGCAACAATTTTTAAATTATCTCTCCTGGATCTATTTTCCAGGTCAACTGTTTTTCCAATGAGATATTTCACATTGTCTTCTATTTTTTCATTCTTTTGGTTTTGTTTTTACAATGTCTTGATTTCTCATAAAGTCACTAGCTTCCAATTGCTCCATTCTAATTTTTGAAGAAGTATTTTCTTCAGTGAGCTTTTGGACTTCCTCTTCCATTTGGCCAATTCTGCTTTTTTAAGGCATTCTTTCCCTCATTGGTTTTTTTGACTTCTTTTGCCATTTGGATTAGTTTATTTTGTGGGTTGAGAAGTCTGGAAACTACCACAGCTGCCCTTGATTCAGTGCCCTAAGGCCTGTTCCAGGTTTGCTGAGACCAGGTCTTTGCCTGCTCACCCATGCTGAACTGCACTCCTCTTCTAACCTGGCACAATAGACTTTTCCAATCACCTATCCAGGTTGTCTTGGGCTAGAAATTTGTTTCACTCTTTTTGTGGGTTCTGCTGCTCTAGAATTTGTTTAGAGCCATTTTTTATAGGTATTTGGAGGGCTTTGGAAGAGAGCTCAAGCAAGTCACTGCTTTTATTCCTCCATCTTGGCTCCACTGGAAACAGGTTTTGAACACATCTTTTCATTAAGGGAATTTGTTTGGTGAAGTTTGGATTCAGTTAAAGGGCTGCACTTGAGGACCTGGAGGGCCGCCACATGTGGCCTTGAGGCCGAAGGTTCCCCCCACCCCTGATGAAAACCAATCAAAACCATTTGGTACTTCTTAAAAAACAGATCATTGGAATAGATTAGGCATAGAAAACCCAGAAGAAACAGGACATAGTAGCACAGCTTTCAATCAATAAACCCAAGAATTCTAACCACTTGATAAGAACTCACTATTCAACAAAAACTGCTGAAGCAATTAGGCAGACATACCATATACCACCATACACTCCAAATAACTACAAGACAAGATATAAAAGGCCCCATAAACAAATTAGAGGAAGAGAAAAAGGAAATAATATCTTTTTGCAACTACGTATAGAGGAAGAGTTTTGTTCACCAGAAAAGGGATAAGGAGAATCAGACGAGATATCCACTATATAAAACTGAAAAGGAATTGCACAAAGTCAATACAGTTAAAATTAAACAGAAAACAATTTTAAGAGGTGGGAGGAGAAATCTTTGCACCACATTTCTCTTGGATAAAGATCTTATATATATGACTCATCCTCCTGAATTCAAGTGTGGCCTCAGATACTTACTAGTTGTGTGACCCTGGGCAAGTCACTTAACCCTGTTTGCCTCAGTTTCCTCATCGGTAAAATGAGCTGGAGAAGGAACGGCAAAACACTCCAGTATCTTTGCCAAGAAAATCCCAACGGATCACAAAAAGTCAGACCCAACTGAAATGACTGAACAATAACAAAATGGTAAAGTGAAAAGAATGTTGGATTTGGAGCTCTGGGTTTAAATCTCAGACATATACCTATGTGATCATGGACAAGTCATTTCAACCCTATAAGCCTCAGTCTCCCCAGCTGTAAAATAAGGGTATACTAGACTAGATCATCTATAAAGTCCCTTACAGCTCTAAATTTTATCATCTATGATCAAAGGCTTCATGCAAGAGATGGCATCTGAACTAGGCCTC